GACTCAAAAAAAAAAAAAAAAAAAAAAAAAAGAAAGAAAGAAAGAAAGAAAAGAAAAAAAGAAAACCAAATAAGTATCCCAGCAATGACTGAGAACAGAAGCTTATCATGAGAGTTTAGAATTTTGATACAGGTATTAGTGAAAATTTCAGGAAATCACCAGGAATTTCCCACTTTGGACTCAGTAAGTCAGTAAGTGGAGAAACTCTAAATGGGCAAAGAAAAGCAACTGAAGGGCTGGACGCGCTGGCTCAAACTTGTAATCCCAGCACTTTGGGAGGCTTTGGTGGGTGGATCACGACGTCAGGAGTTCGAGACCAGCTTGGCCAACATGGTGAAACTCCATCTCTACTAAAAATACAGAAATTAGCTGGGCATGGTGGCAGGCTCCTGTAATCCCAGGAGGCTGAAGCAGGAGAGTCGCTCAAACTCGGGAGGCAGAGGTTGCCGTGAGCTGAGATTGTGCCACTGCACTCCAGCCTGGGCAACAGAGCAAGTCTCTGTCTCGGAAAAAAAAAAAAAAAATGAAATGAAATTGAAATGCTTTGGAATCCTTTGATATTCTCACCTAGCCTTCCTTCTCCACATTTTAGTGGTTAATAATATAGTGGTCATATCAACATTTCACATTGTTCTTTCTTGTAACAATGCTTTTATATACTTTTAAGAATTGATGTTGAACGTTCTATGTAATTTTACTTCTACAATTCACGTCAAAATTTCACCTTTCCAACTTGTTAAATTACCAGAATGGCATCGACACTTTCTCTCGGATGGTTTGGGATCACTGGCAGTTGTTAACTGGCAACTTTTCAAAGTTATTCTATCACTTCCAGGACCATAGACTATTTCTTAATTTATATAAATATTAAAATAATATTTTAATACAGCTTAAAATTTTTCTTTATTGATGTCTTTTCATTTTTTGAGCCATTAATTTCCAGAAATGTTATATTTTTTCTTGCTTTTTCATTTGCTATCATTTTTTCTTACTTGTTACTGCTGATGTAGAAATATGCCCCTGGTTTTAAAGGTACTCTTTGTATCTGGCAAACTTGTGACTTTCTTTATTTATAGAAATCTTTACTTTGCTATTGTCCTTTCCATATGTGGTCTACAAATAATGTTCCCTTTTCAATCCTTGTATTTCTTATTTTCTTTTCTTATTTTAAGGTTTTGACCAAGACTTTCAGCAGGTATATTATTACCTGTCAATCAAATGGCCACTTATATTCCTCTCACTTGTCACATTACTATAATTAGAATTTACTATTATTGGTGTGATTATTTTATTAACATTAGTTTATCTCATTGTACTATATGCTCCATGAAGGCAATAGTTATACCTGATTTTGTCATCATTATATCCCTGGTATAGTGCCTGGGACATATTTATCTCAGTAAATATTTTCTTTTCTTCTTTTCTTTTCTTTTTTTTTTTTTTTTTGGTGGCAGTCTCCCTCTGTTGCCCAGGCTGGCGTGCAGTGGCATGATCTCAGTTCACTGCAACCTCTGTCTCCCCGGTTCAAGTGATTCTCCTCCTGCTTCAGCCTCCTGAGTAGCTGGGACTACAGGCGTACGCCACCACACCCAGCTAATTTTTGTATTTTTAGTAGAGACAGGGTTTCACCATGTTGACCAGGATGGTCTCGATCTCCTGACCTCGTGATCCGCCTGCCTTGGCCTCCCAAAGTCCTGGGATTACAGGTGTGAGTCACCACGCCTGGCCAGTAAGTATTTCTTGAATGAATAAATGAGTGGTCTAGGGTGATAAAGAAAAATTGAAGAAAATAACAGGTGAGGGCCTCCTATTTCTTTCCTTGCCTGTTCCCCCGACTCCAATACAAGCTCATTAACACTCAGCGTATTTATCAGTCAGGATATTTTGGTTGCAAATGCCAAAACTCACACTGGCTAAATTAAACAACTGGGAAATTTACTGGAAGGAAGTAAGGAAATGGGGGATTGGTGATTAGAAGATGAAAGGAAGGCTGGAAAACTAGGCTAAGAAAAGAGAAATTCTGGGAATATAGAATAGATAGTAGAAGCTATTCAATAGCTTTGTCAAGCTACTGCCACTGAAACTAATGAGCACCAACCATTTTCATCTCTTTTTCTCTCTGATCAAGATTTGTGTTCCAAGGAAGGAGCATCCAACTGGTACAACTTGAGTCATGTGACTTCACATGAATGGGCAAGAGCTGGACACCAGTGTAGTAAAAGTGACTCTCAAAAAAATAAGGTGTGGTACTAGTACCAGAAAGAGGAATGTAGGTTTGCAGGCCAAAAATCAATGTCTTACACAACTTCTGCCACTTT